AATATGACTTCTTTCTTTTTTTGTTTTTGTTTTTGAGATGAAGTCTCACTCTTATCCCCAGGCTGGAGTGCAATAGCCCGATTTTGGCTCCCTGCAACCTCCACCTCCTGGGTTCAAGTGATTCTTCTGCCTCAGCCTCCTGAGTAGCTGGGATTACAGGCGTGTACCACCACGCCTGGCTAATTTTTGTATTTTTAGTAGAGACGCAGTTTCACCAAGCTGGCCAGGCTGGTCTCGAACTCCCGACCTCAGGTGATCCGCCCACCTTGGCCTCCCAAAGTGCTGGGATTACAGGCGTGAGCCACCGCGCCTGGCCTTCTAATATGACTTCTTTCTAATAATTTAAGCTACTTTCCTCACACACAGGGAACTAATCTCATTATTATCTTCCAAAGTGGTTTGTATAATTTTTCCTAAAAGCTATATTTTTTTTTTGTTGCCTCTATCCACTATTTTCTACTATTCTCCTTTGTTTCTTTGTGTTGCTAGTTTCCCTATCTAGTGATAGATAGAAGTTGTTGGCCAGGCGCGGTGGCTCACGCCTGTAATCCCAGCACTTTGGGAGGCTGAGGGAGGTGGATTGCCTGAGGTCAGGAGTTTGAGACCAGTCAGGCCAACATGGTGAAACCCCGTCTCCACTAAAAACACAAGAAAATTAGCTGGTCACGGTGGCGGGCACCTGTAATCCCAGCTACTGGAGAGGCTGAGGTAGGGGAATTGCTTGAACCAGGGAGATGGAGGTTGCCATAAGCCAGAGATCATGCTACTGCACTCTGGCCTGGTTGACAGCGAGACTCAGTCTCAAAAAAAAAAAAAGAAAGAACAAAAAAGTTATTTTGTGGGAACTAATTGACATCATTTATAAATGAAGAATCTTTTAGGACTGTGGAAAGATTTCTAGTGCTTTATCCTTGCTTTAAAATTCAAGTTGTGAAACACATCTTACTTCCTCTCTGTTCTCTTAGAGCAATTCAGTAATGTTCCTGTGAGCAGATTCTGTAGTAATCATAAGCAGTTGACAGTATGAGCTCTGCTTTGTGTTAGCTAAACAATGAGAACAGATGCTACAAAGTAAAAAATAACTGTTAAGACCTGTAATGTTTGTGCTAAACTATACATTTGGGATGCTCTGAATTGTGGCAAGAGTTTTAGTAACCTGAAATGTTTTTTTCAAGTGCTTATTCATTTAGTGCAATTAGTACAAACTCAGTTTTTTTTGGAGTTGTGCTTGTACTCACACGGTATTCACCATCATGTAATTGTGAAGTAAACAGATACATCACTGTATGGCATCTCATGTCATAGGACACGTATTTGAGTTGACAATAAATATTCAATGAGTGTGAAAGAATGATATAATGCCAGCAAGGAGAGGAAATACCATGCAGAGTTAAATTTTGCATATAAACATTGGCAAAGTGCTACAGTAAATTACCGTTTTCTTCATAATATGAAATTCCTTTGCACAGTGCAAAGGAAGACCTTTTTAAGCAAACAGTAATGTCTGGAATTCAGCATAAAGACTCTAGTTAATTTCAGAATTTTGTTATTGTTGCTTGTTGTTGCTCCTTTGCAGGGAACCAACCAAAAACAAACTCCATCCATTTTTACTTAACTCAAAGAAAGCTTGAATGTGTAAGAAATTCCTTGTGTACAAGAAGAAGAAGAAATTTAAAAGTTAATTAACATTTCAGTTCTCTGTATTTGTTTTAATTTATATTGTTTGTAATTTTGGAATACATCTGTTAGTTCTTTTTGCTTTGTGTTAAACTTCTTAGTACATCATAGTAATATTTTCTTTTTATCAGGATAGCACCATAATTGGGTGCTTAATTTGTTTGGAACCTGATAATGTTGTCTATTTATATTTTATAATTTGCATAAGAATTCAATCCTAAAATTTTAATATTTGCAAATATCTATGTAATGCTTTTACTTATTGATAGAGTGCAGAGAAAATATATATGTTTATCCATATATAGAAAATAAAGTATTAAATTGATATTTGAAGGAACTCTGCAAAGAGATTTTTATATTCAAAATTTTGGGAATGGAATCTTCTGAATTTTTCAGAGTTCACGATTACATGTATACCTACAGATGTAATTGTAGTCTTAGAACAGTGACAATTAAATGCTTATCTGCTAACCAGTTAGTGGAACAAACTGGATTATTTCCAAATGTAATCAAGTTACTATTAACTTGTAATCATAGCACATGCTCTCAAGCTGTTATAGCTTCTTATTCTTAAAGTAATAAGTATATTCCTGCTGTACTCATGCTTAAGCACATCGAATTGGTGCCTGGGTAATACTGATCTAATATTTTTCTTTTGTCACTTAAACTTACCATTCTCATGTTTCCTCCTCCTTCATTTCTTTAGGATGCATGTGCCTTTTAGACAGCATTGATAGTGGAGTTAGTGAAAGAGAATCATCAAACAATGATATAGAGGGTGACCTGGCACAGGAGCTCTATCTAGTTGCTTTATTGAGGTGGTCAAAGAGACCATGTATGTAGACAAGGAGGTGTCCTAGGGTATAGGGATTTTTGATATGGTATCTCACTCTTTGTCAAAAGAAAAATCAGTTTTCTGGGACAGTTTTGATATAAGACAGAATTTGAGCACAATTCTAAGAATAAATTGTTTTGCATTTGAACTCAGATTGAGTTCAAATATACTCCATGTTTACAAAGTGAATATGGTAAGTTGCCACATTTGGGCATATTGCTTAACATGTTTGAGATTCATTTTACTCATCTAACATATATTGAAGCTTACCATTTCTCGGGTGTTATACTGTTTAGTTCTCATCTAAACTTAATCTTTCCTCCTATTCCCTTAAAAAATTACGTTAGGAAACTAGGGCTTTTAAGGCTAATGACTTGCTCTAGGTTGTATAGTGAGTAAGTGGCAGAATAAAGATTTGAGCCCAGATCTCTTTGATACCAAATTTCAAGCTCTTGACTTCTAAGCCCGTGGTTCCCACACTTTAGTGTGGAGCAGAAGTACCTGGAAAGCATACATTGCTGGGACCTAGAGTTTCTGATTCTACAATAGGGCTCAAGAATTTGTATTTCTATTATTTTTTAAAAATCATTTTAGTTTTTTTTAGAGACAAGGTCTTGCTCTGTTGCCCAAGCTGGAATTCAGTGGTATGATCACGGCTCACTGCAGCCTTGAACTCCTGGGCTCAAGTGATGCTGCCACCTTGGCTTCCCAGAGTGTGGAGATTACAAGCATGAGCCACCATTCCTGGCTAATTTTTTATTTTTTGTAGAGACAGGGTCTCACTGTGTTGCCTAGGCTGGTCTTGAACTCCTGGTCTCACCCATCCTCCTGCCTCAGCCTCCCATAGTGTTGGAATTACAAGTGTGAACCATGGTGCCCAACTAGAATTTGTGTTTGTAACAAGGTCCCAGATGTTGATGCTGCTGGTTCTGGGAACTATATTCTGAGAACCAGAGTTCTATGCTGTGCTGCCTGACTTGATTCCTCTGAGGGATAAATGAGAGAGTTCACATGTGCTTGTGTTAATAATCTGACACTTTGACTACTTATAACGTCCTGGATGCTCTTCCAAGTTAATTCCTTTTTATCCTGAGTTTAATTTTAGGAGCTAGTTAAATTGCAGGGAGAGTATGTGAGGGTGTAATCATCACTTAAAAGAGAAGGAAACTGAGGTAGGAAGAGGTGCCCGGTAAGTGGTCTCACAGTGAGTCAGTGGTAGAACGGGTTATCCTCATTATTGCTTCTGTCTGCTGAGCTGATTTGGAAGGCCAGTGTCTTCTTTGGAGCTATCTCTAGAAGGAGAGATTTCATGCTATAGGAAGGTTGAGAGGAAAATAGATCCTTCCTTTCTATTGCTGTTTTGTGTCCTTGGATGACTATTGCAGAGTAGGCCTGGAAAAAAAGAATTTTCCTCCTTTTATATCATTCTTCAGCATTCTGAAGGGTGGATGATGTACTTTGTTATTCTGATGAATGATATAATTCTGAAAATGACCTATATTTCAGTTGAATGTGAGATCTTTGATAGTCGTTAGCATGGATGAAAGGGATTCCAGGAGATTTTGTATGTAAGAACCATGCTAGTGGTGCCAGTGCGTTAAGTTAGAAAATGTGTTGACTGATGGTGGCCACCCTCCAGTAAGGCATCTGTGGTGTTAACCTGCCCATGGCTGCTCCAGTAGCCAGGGAAAATCTCAAAAGCAAAATGCAAGAGAGTGAGAAAAAAAATGTATTGTAATTAAGTCTGAAACCTGTACTCTGCTTAGGAAACTGTGTAGTTTCCTCATTCGTTTTAAAGAGAAAAACTCCTACAGAGAAAGTGTCTTAAAGAAAAAATGGTCTTGAGAGAGTATAAAGCAATTTCAAAAGGTGAGATCACATTGATATATGAATGAATACTTTATGTATTTGGTTCGGTTCAAAATTTTGTTGAGTGACTGTTATGTACAAGATACTTATAAAAAAAATTGTCCTTCCTCTCAAGGAGAACTTATAGTAGACTTCACAGTTGAGTGTTTAGTTAATTTATATATGAACATCCAGTCTGAAATTGATGTAACCTGATGCGGATCTTGTCTCGAAACTACTGATAGTATTTTCATGATGCCAGTATTTGAATCCTGGGATACATTTTTCTTTTTAATGGGGTATCTGTTTCACTGCAGAGCTAGAGCTAGATCCCAGGCTTCCTCACTCTCAGCTTGGCGTTCTCCCTGATTTAGGATGTCTTTATTTATTTATTGTATAGATTTATCTCCAAATATTAGATTTATCTCCAAATATTAAGCAGTGAACTTTCAAAAGGTTACTGTGACTTGTCCTACTTTTTTGGATATACACATCTGTATTTTATCATTTTTTTTTTTTTTTTTTTTCCTTCAAGATTTTAAATGCAACCTAGACACTTGTGGTTAGGGTGCTGAATTTTGACATATGCGGTTTGACGGAAAGAATCACTGGTGTGTCTATTCTGGTTTGTTGTAGGTTAACGAAGCCCTTGTCATTTGCTGATTGTGTTGGGGATGAGCTGCCGTGGGGATGGGAAGCAGGGTTTGACCCTCAGATTGGTGTCTACTACATCGATCACATCAACAGTAAGTTTTCCTTTTTGATAAAAGCAAATATATCAGAAAAGTAATCCCCCAAAACCTACAGGCACACAAAAGGATAAACATGTTACAAAGTGAATTTCCAAAACCCCATTTTCTTAGTGACTAACATTTAACTGAAATGCCTCTCTTGGTATTTGGGGCATGTACATAGAGTTGTCCTTATGGGGACGGAGAGGGAGAAAGGGTGTGCCTGCCTGCCTGCCTGCCTACCTGCTGGGGAGTGAGGATTCTCCTTCAGCACAGGTCTGGGAACCTGTGGGGATCAGAGCCACTGGGCTCCTCTTTCCATGGCCACTGCACCTTCTGACAGGGCTCCTCCTTTCCGTGTGCTTTTTGCCACAGAAAGACTTGGGCCTTGGCACAGTGTGGTTTGTAGGCTGAGATTGGGGAGGGGTTGGCCCTCATCAGTGGCTCTGGAAGACACAGCATAGCTGGGAAAGGTCCTGAACCTCTTCCTTTTTTCTGTTTCCTGATTTCTGTGTCGTTGGAAGGGAAAAACCTCTCATTTTAACAGCTTTTAGATCTCTCACATCTCTGACATGGTAAGTCTAGCGCAGAGGATACCGTGACCGTGAATGACTTTCAAAAACACATACTTTGAAATATTTTTATATATTAGTATATGTTTGTGTGCGTGTTTATATGAATATCTAGCTCTCTATCTACTCCTTTAAAAATTTATTCAGATGGTAGCATACAATACTCATTCATTTTGCTTATTCACTTAAAAATAATTATTTTATTTTTATAGATTTTGGGGAATACATAATGAATTTATTCCTCATTGTCTTCTTTCTTTGAGTTCTATTCTTATATTTAAAATTTGTATATGCAGTACTCTGTAGTATCTTTAGGAACAGTATCACTGTAGCAAAGTGTTTCATTTGATGCTCACTCATTAGTGATGGCTTGCAGTGCCCTTGTGTAGGTAGATGATATATTTCTCAAGAGGCCAAAAAGGCCTGTATTGTTAGCTGCGAGGCACCATCTTCCAGGCGGGTGAGGTGGAGGGGCGGAAAGGAGCATAAGCACTCTGAAGTCTGGTGAGCACATACGGTTAGTGATCTGTTTCAGTAGAACACCTGTCATACACAGTTTGGGAACCAGCTTTCGTGTATACTGTACATTATTAGTTCAACACAAATACAAATAATAGTTTCTACAAGTTGTTGCCTCAGCCTCTTTTATATGACCAGAAGAAATGTGACTTTTTTGTAGAGATACTCTTTCTCTCTCCCTGAAAGTTTCTAAAAGTTCTATGTAGAATTAATGATTGTGTTTTTAAGTTAGCTTTTAATTTTGTGTTTTCTAATAAATGTTTATTGATATACTGTATTAGTATATACCAGGTTTTATTGTGTATCAGTCACTGATAACCAAATGTCATCTGTAAGGGTGAAATGAACTAATTTTGGTAAAATTAAGTTCATTTTAAGCACTGTGTGTCACCCTTATGTCATTGCAAATAAACAAGACAGTGAAATATCTGAAATGTATTAACTATTTAACTCTCACTTTTATGCTTATTTTAGATGAATAATTGTGTAGCTTTCTTTCCTTAAAGTAGTATTTGAGAAACCGGAAACCAACCTCGCCATCCTAGGTCAACAAAAATAAGCTCTCTTGGTACCATAATGAGAAAAGGAATCCTCTCAGCCTCCTTCTCAACACCTACAAACTCTTTGGTACCTAAACCCACCTTCAGGGCTTCCTCCTCTTTCTCAGTGAAAGAGGCGTTCCTCTGGACACCTCCACCCCTACAGATACCTCTTAATAACTTTCCTATTCCATCCTTCTCTCCTGTTTGGTGTCTTTATTAGTTATTTCCTGATTTTAAAATGTTCTCCTATCATTTCTATTAATAAATGATTCTTTTGTCTTAATATATAAACACTGGAAACTCTCAAAACGAAACCAAAACTGCAAAAGAAATACAAACAGATGGCATTAAACTCCCTCTCCTCACCCTCTCAAAACCGTCCTTCAGCCAGAATCCATCGCCATCTGTGGTTGCCTCCTCTTCCCTTCACAGCCAGACTTGCTGAAAGCTGTAGTCTGCAAGAACTCCACTTCCTCCGTTGTTCTCCATCATCTCGTCGAACCTGTTCTTGCTGAGGGCACCTGAGACCCCATGATGTAGTGTGGATATTCGTCCCATCTAAATCTCATGTTGAAATGTAATCTCCAGTGCTGGAGATAGGGCCTGACCAGAGGTGATTGGATCATGGGAGTGGATTTCTCATGATGGTTTAGCGCCATCCCCTTGGTGCTGTCTTTGCTGTAATGAGTTCTCACAAGATCTGGCTGTTTGAGGTGTGAAGCCTCTTCCACTTGCTCTCTTGCTTCCTCTCTCACCACATAATGTACCAGCTCCTGCTTTGCCTTCCGCCATGAGTAAAAGCCCCCTGAGGCCTCCCCAGGAGCCCAGCAGATGCTGGGGCTGTGCTTGTACATCCTGCAGAACCGTGAGGCAATTAAACCTCTTTTCTTTTCTTTTTTTTCTTTATAAATGCCTCAGTCTCGGGTATTCCTTTATAACAAGGCAAAAAGGGTCTAATATACCCCACAAACTGTCAAATTCGAACAAGACTGTAGTCTCGTCTCTGTGACTTGTCACTGTGAGTTATTCCCTCCTGCTCTCTACTCTTTGGATTTTGTGACATACTGTTCACATATCTGAGCGCACCTGCCCAGCTTTCTTTCGCCTGTTTCTTCTTCACTGGGGCCTGCTGTCAGGATTTCTGTAACAGTCTTCTGCTGTGTGCGTGCTGCAGACCTCCTTGGGTGATGACTTCGGTTACTTCCTTCAGGCTGCTGGCTGCCACATCTGTCTAAGTCTTTCTCAGAGTCCAGATGCATATGTTCTTTCCTTGCTGGAAGGCTCTTCCCAGTCTGCTTGCATCGGCCTCTCCGTTTTCATCTCCTGCCCTGCCTGGCACTGGAGACCTCTAGGAGTACCCTGTGTCTCCTGGGCTGGCCGCCTTTCTTTGCATCTGTGGAGTCGAACCTGAGCACTCTCTGCACAGCCCCTAGGCCCTCCTTTTGACTGAAGGCCACATCCTTCTAGGGGCTGTCTGCTCAGGTGCCACTGCTTCCCATAGGCCTTCTCTGATACCCACCCCTCCACCTCACAGGTCTCCGTCCCATTCTGGTCAAATGCCCCATCCAGATACTTCTGGAGGACCAAGTGCATAGGAATTTTTTAAAAAGGGTTGTCATATTGCATTTATACTATTTTTTGTATGTTATCCTCACTAAATTATGAGCTTCTTGAGGGAGGGCAGTGACTGTATCTTTTGTTTTCATCGCTGGGCAACTAGTATAATGATAAACACTTAAAAGGTTAAAAAGAAGAGCTTTATTGCTTAACTCAGCAATCAAAAGCTTTCTGTTCTTATTTAAAGGAATTAAAGTACATTTCAGGTATAAATTATGTGTCAAAAAACACCATGTTGAATATTTTAAAACTTCACTATTAGAATATAAAATTTTAAGTCTGCTATTTTGCTTTAATGGTAATGGTATTCTAGCGGTCTGATGTACCCAAATTACCAACAGCAAACAGTTCACCCACTGAAAACGATCTGGTCCATTGTCTCATTAATCTTCAAGACATTCCTGTGAAGTGGTTTAGGAAGCAAACGGTATTATCTTCTCAAACAGCTGTTCCACACATATGTTGTGTTCTGACGTTGTATAGTTTCAGCATAATTTTCTCATTATTTAAAGAAAAAGTTAAATAAGGAATGTTTGGCTGTTTAACACGTTTCTAACAAACACTATTGAATATTTAGAAGTAGAAGATTTGACCTTGACAGTAAAAGTTATTTTAGGCCGTAAGTGTTTTATGATCACATTCACCTTTCGGTGGGTACGTGTGGAGTGGGGGTATAGGTATCAACGAGGGATGTTTGTAACTAACTGGAAGGGAAATGAGGAGGTATGGTTTGTAAGGTTTTGATATTATTAATACAACCAGAAGTAAATCACTTTTTGGTAGAGTCTGAGTTGTACTATAACTTTTTTTTGTTTCTTTTAGTAATTGAGGTTTCATTTACATACACAAAAATGCACAGATTTTGAGCATGTATTTTGGGTAGACTTTGACATATGTATAATCCTTTGTAACTTGCCCCCGCATCAAGGTACAAACTTCTTCAGTCCCTCTAGTAAGTTCTGTCCTGCCCCTTTCCAGTCAGCCCTCCCTACTGCTGCAGACATTGTTCTGATTTCTATCACCATAGCTTAATTTTGTCTGTTCTGGAACTTCATATAAAAGGATTTGCTCAGTTTTGGGAATAGATCCTTTCAACATGTTTTGCAGTTTGCACCTGTAGTCCCACCTACTTGGGAGGCAGTTTACACCTGTGGTCGCACCTACTTGGGAGGCTGAGGTGGGCAGATTGCTGGAGCCTAGGAGTTCAAGGCTGCAATGCACTATGATCACACCACTGCACTCCAGCCTGGTTGACAGAGTGAGACCCTGTCTCAAAAACAAACAAACAAACGAAAAGTAATGGTATATAGGAGAAAAGTAAAAATATAGATAAATGAAAAGAAGAAAAATTATGTTCATACAACCCAGAGTTAACTAAGTATTCTAAATCTTTTGATGTGTATCCTTCCAGACTTGATACACGCATGCACATATACCCAGTTTTTTAAAATTTATTTTTGTTTTATTTTTTTGGGGTAGAAATGGCATCTCTCTGTGTTGCCCAGACTGGCCTTAAATCTGACCGCAAGGAATGCCCCTGCCTCATACACAGCTTTAAATGTATTTTACCTCTCAAATGGGATTATATTATATATACTATTTTATAAACGTTCTCATTTAATATATAATTTTCATCAAAAAATTTTTTTCTCCATCATATCAATTGATAATAGAACCTCACATTTCTGTCAGATGATTTTCGTAGAATATAGTGAAAATTCTTTGAAGCTGAGCATGGTGGCTCTTGCTTGTAGTCCCAGCTACT